ATTAATATATTTGATATGTATTTTCCCTAATATCTCGTGAGTGATAAATTTTTAATTATTTTGAGTATTTTTAACTAATTTTTTAAGGGAACAATTTTTTTAAAAAAATAATCTAATTGTTTTGAAGTAGTTTCTATTTATTAAAAAAATTAAATAATTTTTATTTTTTTACATAAAAAGATATATTAAACTCAACAGCCTTTTAATTGATTTTTAAAAACTTTTTATTATAACTAAGTTTTTTTAAGTTTTATTTTCTGGAATGTTAAAATTAGATTTATAAAAGAAAATAGTATTTGAAATTAAAAATGATATTTTAAATAATTGTGATGGGATATCAAAAATTAATTTTTATTAGACCAAATATAAAACATTTTTTAATTTTGTGACTCAAATTTGTTTACAAATAATTTAACGGTTAAAAAATAAATAAAATCAAATATTAGGGACTATTCAACTTTTTTTAATTATTTACTAAATATTAGTAATCTAAAAAATTAAAATTAAATATAAACTAATAATACAATTAATATAATTATGAATGCACTCAAAGGAAAAAATAAAAATAAAAATAAAAATAATATTAATATTAATATTATTATTAGATAAAGAAGGAGAAAGGGATGGAGTGGACGACGAAATTATATTACCATTTTCAATGGAAGAAGAAGGTCAATCAGCCTCTAGTGTTCATTTCAATTTTTAATTAATGGATAAAGTTTTACACGTGTCATTTTCTTATTGGCTATTCTTTTATTTCCTGGATAATATTTACAAGAAATCTCGAAATTCTATGGCGTTTGGTTACTAGTTTTGAGGATGTGGGGACTGTTTGTGTACGACTTCAATCCAGTTCTCAGTCATGGATATGAGAAAAACCTGAAGAATTGTGAACACCAGAAACTAACCACCGTTCCTTCTCTGTAGTCTCCTTGTTCCAATGGCGGCGATCATAAACTCCAATTCGTTTATCTTAACCACAGCCCCAAACGCCCGCCGAAGCTTTGACAACAACAGCCGTAGACAGTTTTCCGTCTACGCCAAGAGTTCTGGAACATTCGCTTCGTTTCGCTTGGGGAAATCGAGCAATGGATCGCCATCGTCCGATGGCGCTCCGGCTGAAGATTCTGGTAATTCGAATCCGTATCGTTTCAACTTCGGAAAGATACCGGATGTGAAGTCTCTGATTCCGGTTGTTAGCGAAACTTCGTCTGGTTTGTCATTCGGAAACTCGAGGCGGAAGGATCCTAATACGGTGTTTGTCGCTGGCGCTTCTGGTCAGGCTGGCATTCGATTGGCGCAGACGCTGTTGCGTGAAGGTTTTAGTGTCCGTGCTGGTGTGCCGGAGCTTGACGCTGCTCAAGAATTGGCTCGTCTTGCTGCCAAGTATAAGGTTAGTTCAGAGCGAATTTTGAATCTGAGAACGGACAATATGAGGATTTGAACGACATGTGGATTTCGTTGTTTTCTGAATTGATAATTTTACTCTCGCATCTAATCGTTTAGTGTAAGGTCAGAATGAATTTTGTATGTGAGAGTGGAAGATGTGAGAATTTCATTGTGTTCTGAATTGATAATTCTGCTCTCGAATCTTGTTGTCAAGTATAATTAGGTCAGATTGGATTTTGTATTTGAGATTGGAAGTTCTAAGGATTCGTTGTTTTCTGAATTGATAATTCTACTCTGCATCTGGTTCAGTTATTGATTTTGACGATAACATTGTGCATTTTATTAATCGAACAATGAAGGTCATATCTAATGAAGAATCGAAGCGATTAAACGCCGTCGAATCCTCCTTTCAAGACGCCGAATCAATAGCCAAGGCGATCGGAAACGCCAGTAAAGTTGTAGTCACTATTGGCGCTGGAGAAAACGGTCCGACCTCTGAAGTGACCACATCGGACGCATTGCAAGTAATTCAGGCAGCACAGCTCGCCGGAGTAGGCCATGTGGCCATCGTCTACGACGGCAACGCATCAAACTCCTCCACCAACAATGTACTCGACGGCATTTCGTCATTCTTCAACAACCTGTTCTCCCGATCTCAGGCGTTGTCCGTAGTGGAGCTCTTGCAGAAAATAGTCGAAACCGATCTGAGCTATACGTTCATCAAGGCGAATTTGGCAGAAGACTTTGAGCCTGAACGGGCCTATAATGTCGTCGTCGGAGCTGAAGGAAGCGCTAGTTCAAACGACTACAAAGTAATGTAATGTATGACATAATTGTCAAATAGTGTTGAACAAGCTCTTTCCCTTTCTCTGTTTTTGAGAAGGATCATGCTTCCTAATTTTGACTTCAAAATTATTATCAGGTGGCCAAGTCACGGATAGCATCGCTGGTGGCCGGCGTTTTCTCGAACACGGCGGTGGCCGAGAACAAGGTACCTTGCATTTTACTGCACTCACAATTTTTAAGCATAGCCATTGCTTAAATTATTGATTGAGCATTTTACTTCTAATCCTCAAGGTTGTGGAAGTTTATTCTACTCCATCAGCACCCTCAAGTTCAGTAGAGCAACTTTTCAGGTAAGTTCTTTTATTTTTTCCCTCTTTTGCATCATTTTTTATAACAATTATTAGTGTTCATATAGACCATCTCATATCTTTAAAAAAAAAAAAATCTCACACTATCATCGTACATATTCTTTTTCATTTCTTTGTTTGGAATCTTTATTATCTCCATCTCCTTGTGAGTCTCAATTTTATTAGCTTATTTTTCTAAGTTTTTGTTAGGCCTAGGTGATTGATTTTAACACCTTATTATGTTTGGAATCTGTAATTTCAAAAGGGTAAAGGTTAAATTTAACAACTTATTATGTGTAATATAATCCTAAATTTTAAAAATGACTCATAACTTTCTAACTATATATATGATAAATATTTTATATATTGAAAAGGTTAAAAGAAACAATGTGATGTGATTTAATAGATACAAAATTAAATTTTATATTTAATCAAATATTTATTTTTCAATTTTGTATTTAGGAGATCAATAATTAGAAAAAATATATACATAAAAAAAACCATTAAATATATAATCAAAAGTTAAAAAATTGACAAAAATAAAAATTTAAGAACTTGGAGACTAACAAGCACGCTTCTCTTTTAAAAAGGTAGAAGATTAATATATATATATGTGTGTGTGTGTGTGTGTGTGTGTGTGTGTGTGTGTGTGTGTGTTTTAATTTTAGGAACCAAATTAAGACAAATTTGAATTCTATGAACTAAATTTGTGATTTTAGTCTTTCTAAAACCGAGAATTGTGTGTTGAAGATTCTATGGTTTCATAAAGCATTGTGATTAGAAGATTGATTGGTTTGGTATAAATTGGTATCAGCGCCATTCCCACGGATGGGAGAAGACAGGCTTATGCTGAAGCACAGGCCAAGGCAAAAGCAGAGGAAGAGGCCATAAGAACTGCAGAGCAAGCTCGTGAAGAGGCAGAGGCCGCAAAGAAACAACAACTTGAGGCTGCCAAAGCTGAAAAGACAGCCCAAGCTGCTGCTGTTGCCGAAGAATCCCAGAAGCAAGAATCTGATGAAGTAGCCTTCTTTAACACCTTATTGAACAAAGCCAAGGATTTCAGTTCAGAGCAATCCCAAAAGCTCAAAAAGCTCTCAGAAAAAGAACCCAAGGCACCCACTAAACCCAAAGCCGAAGAGGCGCCAGAGAAGGCCGACAGTGCAGCAGGCAGTTTAGTCAACAACTTTTTAAGCAAAGCCAAGGGCTTCGGCTTGCAGCAGCCATGGGAGAAACTAGCTTTTCAACTACCAAAACAATCTGAGGAATCAAATGTTCAGATAGCCACAGTGAGAGGACAGGCTAAGGCTCGATCTCTGCCATCAAAGAAAGCAGCCGTAAGACAAGCAATGACCAATTCCAAGCCCTCGTTTGCAGCGAAATCAAAAGAAAACTCAAAGCCTAAACCCAAAGAGGAGGCAAAAGCAGAGGTAAGGAAGGTTTTTGGTGGTCTCTTTAAGCAAGAAACCATATATGTTGATGATGATTAGGAAGAAGAAGAAAATATTATTGATTGTTTCTGACTTTTATGGCTGATGATAGAAACTCTTTGAAGAGCTTATTTTTATTTGTGTATGTATTTCCATTGTAATCTATGCATGTATCTGTTTCACGAGGGTTGGTTACCTGATTTTACGAGTTTCAGCAAAGAATATGAGCCTGTCGTGATTGTAACATTCTATTGTTTTTCCTATAATTGTGAACGCAATTATCCAACTCTTGTAAATGGGTCTCTACTCAAATTAATTTAATAGTGTTTATGCTTGTATGATGATCTGTATGATGATCTGTGCTTTTTAGAATTAAGAAATTCGACTATCAAATGTTTTAGATTAAAATTTCAGGCTGACTTTTGATTTGGATTAAATTATATTTTGTATCTATGTAATGTGATCTTTTGGGTCAATTCATTCCCATACTTTAATTTTTCTTTTTATTTTTAAATTGTTTTTTTTTTATTGTTTGTTTCTCTAAGACCAACAACAATGGTGGGATGAGTGTGTTACAGATGGTCGGGAGAGTTTGAGTTTGTAGATAAGAAATATATTGAGTTTATAGATAAGAAATATATTTCAATTGATATCAGGCCTTGGAGAAACCAAAAGCGCAAAACCATCCGCACAATATTATACCATTGTAGAGATGGTTCCTAACATAGTATCAGAGTTACCTGCCAATAGAATGTCCAACAAAGAAATTAGGAAATCTTGGAAGTGTAGTCAAAAGTGACTAAGTGTCGGAGTCGAGTCTCGATTAATAAGGGCTATCGAGGGCTCCATAGGTCCATGGAGGATTGTTAAATTATAAATCTAACTAGTTTTAAGAAAGTTCAAATCTCAACTTTATAAAATTATAACATAATCCGGTGAAAAGAAGTTTAGTTAATTAATGTGACATAATTTTAACTTCTAAAATTGTAACGGAGGAGAAATAGAAGCAATTCTAAAAATCAGATCTCTTAGATCGAAATAGATTGATTCTAACAAAAACAGAGCTGAAAGCAGCCACCATTTCAAGATGTTTTTACAAAGTTTTCTATAATATAACAAAGGAAATCAAGACCCAGATGCTCATATACTGTAATTCAAACAAAATGATACAAGACTCCCACACATCAATCAAACCAAAATTCAGCAAACCCGCAGAAGGATCATCAAAACGGAAGCAATGAGAAAAAAAAGCAATAAATCAACACTCCGATCAACCGATTCCTAATCTCCGCCACCTCCACCGCCTCCCTCACCGCCGTGGCCATGCGAGCTGCCACCATCATCTTCTAAAGCATCCACAGCCACCGCTGTGACTGCAACAGCAGCCACGGCGGCAGAGGCGCTGCTTTCATTTGCATCACCTGTGTTTCCATCTCCACTGCTATCACTACTAGGGGAATGCTTACCTCCTTTTGCAGCACGGCGAGATTTGCGGCGGGAAGGCTTTGATTTGGAAGATTTCTCTGATTCTCCATCAGCTTTGAGGCCATTTTTGTGGCGAGGAATGCAGAAACAAATCTTTGAGGACTCCATTGTTGAGCTTTCTTCCCTGCTTATCTCTTCCTCATTGAATCCTGAATTATAATCAGCGTTCCTTTTGCCAACCTGTAGAAAGCTTTGTTACAAAATATCAATAAATATAAAAACAGGGTGAGATTTACAGCCATGCTATCAACTTTTCTCTGTTCATGTCTTCCCCCCTTTTCTTTCCTCCTCTTTACTCCAAAGTTGTTAGAAGGGAAAATTTGCCAATTGGTGCAATCCAGCTAGCTAAAGAGACAAAATAATAGCTCAAAATAACTTTAATGATTCGATGAGTTTAACCCTTGCTCTAAAAAAACAGGAAAAGGGAAAGAGTTTACACTGGTTACAATTGCTCCAACAGTTTATGTAATCCATGTTTGAAGTTTGGAGAATGTAGTAAAGAAAAACTAATGAATAAGTAATAGATTTGTCTAATAATAAGAATAGATGAACGAAAATGCAATGTAAAGCACTCAATTGGGCCTGTCCTTTTCTACAATAATTTGGTCCGCCGCTGATCAAATAATAAAGCTGATCAAGTCTCCATCAAATCATTATATGATTTACTTCAAGATCCAATTAGCCAAAAGCTATAGAACAACGTTTGAAACATTAAAAGAATGATATAATAAATTCAGTATAAAATGAATATGAATGTACTATTGGCTTTTGTTTGGAATCTAACATAAAGCTAAAAAAGTACACTCCCAAAAGGGGTCCTCCAGTTAGTTTTGAAATAATATTTCTCACAAAAGGAAAATATGTGACAGATGATAAACCTTCCATAGACACACTCAGTTTTTCCAGAGTTTGTATGAAGTTTCCTTGGAAATACATTTGTATTCAGCGTACACCAACGTATCCATCTTGCTTCATTTTAATTAGGCTGCTTTCGATGTTCCGCAGCACTGGCTTATAGCTACAATGTAAGAAGCAGAAATTCAGAAAAAAAGTCTTCTTTGAAATAAAATGAATCAACTGTTATTCGTATGAGAGAGAGGATCTTACAGGCGTGTGAGCCCGTTATATGCTTGTGTAGCCTGCTGGAGTCGCGTTGACAGCTCCAATACTTCTGCTGATAACATCTCTGCTCTGCTCTGTTCTTTTGCTAGCTGGGCCTTCATAGAGAAATAATAGGAAGATGAAATCATAGTATATTCATACTTAGATGACCAACCTAAAGTATGAATGAAACCAAGGTAACAGATTACATCTGAATTAACCAGTTTGACATAATCACTTAACCAACATACTGCCAAGTATTCAACTTCTAGAAAGGACTTCTAACTTCATTGAGACATCATCATATACATACAAAAGGCAGAAAGTTGCATCCTAAGCAAGAGACTGACCTTGAGGGAGAGAAGGTCAGATGTAAATGGCGGAGACTGAGTTTCAACTGCCCCATCTCTATATGACACCGGCAGACTGTTCGATTGTTCTGTTCTCAACTCGTCTAGAACTCTGCGAAGTGCTTCATTCTGCTTTAGACAGTCTTTCACCTACAAAATCTTCTATTCAGCTGTAACTAAAAATTAATTCTAAAGCAAGTTTAATAAGACCACTAAAGAAAACATACTGCACCTCAAGCATATGTAATTCAACAAGGACGACAGAGATAGGAAGTGTCTCAGAAGTAAACAAGTTACAAATGCCAGATTTTTCTCATTAGCAGCACTTGACAGCATACAACCAATTATAGCGATAAAAAGTCGGGGGAGGAATCTATTTGGAACCCTTGAAGACTTCATAACAACTGCAAAAAATCATGCAGAGTTGACAACTATAATCACCTGATTCTCCCAGTGTACTCCTATGCTCACAGCCTCGTGGTAAGAGCTGGATAGAGTAGAGTTTTCCTCAAACAGCCTCTCTATTTCTGAAGACTGCGAATCAATCTACCAAAAAACATGAGAGAAGGCTCTCCTTTAGAGGAAAATTCATAAAATTGTACTTTTGGTGTGAGTAAACGAGAAGAAAATGGAAAAGACTTTACTTCCATCAGAAGCTTCTGTCTACTATTCTCCAACCTCTCGATCGCAACAGCCATGTCATGCAACTGCTTCTCAAGCTTGCTCTTCTCTTCCTGCAAATAACAAGGTAATGCTGTAACTAGGGGAAATAGGATGAATAATGAATATTTAAACTTCTAGAGTATGAATCATGCAAGAAGCGATTTAGTGATACTTGTAAGTGACATCAATGCAGTCACAAAATAAATTCTTTTGAAATTCTTTTAAACGAAATTACAACAAAAAGTCACTTACAACTGAAAAAGTCTTCTCCACTGCCTTTTCTGAGATCTCTGAAAGAAAACGGACACAAAAAATATCCAAAATTATTAGTAGATGTTAAGTGGACAAAATCTTGAAATTTGCAAGAATATATCAGGCTTCAAAAGATATTGGCACAACAATCTCTGTACCTGAGGCCTTTGTGGACGTATTTGCAAGCTTTTCTTCAAGTTCCTGCTTTTCAGAAATGAGGGATGAAATACGGGATTGCTCCTCTGATAACTTTTGTAGATCTTGCTGCCTCAAGATTGAAATTTTCTGTACATGATCAACTACTGTAAGGCACTAAACAACCAACATTCTGACAAGAGAATGACAGAAGTTTGTCCACAACAGCCATACCTGCAACTCAGCATTTAGTTTAGATACTTCCTTTTCCAAATTTTGCATCTGATCAAGTGGATTAGTTGTTGGAGTGATTCCGGCAAAAGAGCCACTCATTGCTTGTTGTTGAATTGAATTTAATTCTGCTCTCAAGGCTGCAGCATCTTCCTCCGCCTAATGCAGAAAAACTATTTTAATACGAAAAATTACTTCAATGAGTGGTTATAAACTAAATACATACTCGATATTGTTCGTCCTCTGCTTCCTTCAATTGTTTCCTTAAAGTGCGAAGCTGGGCTAACAGATCCTCCTATACTAATTTATCACACCATTAGTAATGCTTAGGAGGAACAAAATGAAGGGAAAAAAGAATTAAATAATATCTAGACTGCATATACCCGGGCAACAACTGCTGCATCTTTTTCCATGGCTACATCCTTGAGAGCTTTCCTTAAAGATGGTACAGTGTTTGTCTCCTACAAAGTTTAGGTAATGTTGTAATCAGATTGAAATATTCAATCAAATTAACAGAACACCTCGACAGTTAAGGAATTTCAGTAAGATGAAGTATAGGCTAAGAAAAGCTTTTCTATCACCAAACTAGGAGGCAAGATGGGGTCTAAGTGCAGGTTAGCAAATAGCAAAACCTTCTGCATTTCCAAATAATAACTTTCATTTCAAGAGAGAAATTGGAGTTAATTGCTGTTTTACACTACAAAAACTGCATCAAATATATTAACATGCCATCATGTTACATGAGGGAAATATGTCTAATCAGAAAATATAGTATTGAAAATAAACAACTGACATAAGACCTATCCAAAGGAACAGAGAAAAATCAGTCAGGAAGAGCATTAATTACCAGTTCATTCAATCGCTTCTGAAGAGTGCCATTCTCAACCTCCTTTGATTGGAGCTGAAACAAAGTAATAATTATGAAGTTTAAAAAAACAATCGATGCACATGTTTTTTATAGAATATTCTGCACAAGTGGGGAAAAAAGATCAAACAGGACAAAACCTTTGAGCTTATGATGTTCTTTTCTTCTTCTAATTCGGCATTCTTCTTCTGCAAATCTTGTATCTGAGATACTAAACCACCCACATCGGTCTGGATAAAAGAACCAACCGATCTTAGAAGAACACAAATAGAGGGGGGGAAATAAAAAGAGGAATTCTGAAGAGGCCAGTCTATTAAATAAATTCGCCATTGTATTAAATTGATTAGCAGTAACAACAATTGGCAATTAGTCCAATAAACTCCATTACATTCATGCCACATTTTCCCAACTATACTTGAATTTCATAAAAACATGGGCCTAGTAAAAGGATATATGAAACTATTCAAGAAGAAACCTCAAAATCAAAATCAAAATTTCCAAGATACAAGAACATGGCGGAGGAAATTAAGAATACAAATGAAGTTTCTAATTCTCAGATATCAAGCAAGCAGAAGGTTCGACGTAGCGGGAAAAAAAGGGACATAAATCTACCTCCGAGAATCGACTTCCGCTCTCTGATTTTCTAATTCCAGAAGTTTCTGTTCCAATAAAACCAAACTAAATTACATCCACAACCAATAATCTCCGCAACAATTCCATATGAATCAACAATAATTTACCATTAGATTTCGAGCCTGTGCTCAGATCTGGTCCGGAAGGTGCTTTGTGTAATCTTTCGGCCGCTCTCTTTTGCCGAATCTCTTCCAGCTGCCAAAATGAATATGAAATTTGATGGATGTATGGTAATTCACAAACACACAAAAGCCATTATGGTGTGCAAGAACGCGAACATGCAAGAACTTCTTACCGTTCGTCGACCTAGAGATGCGTGGTGAGCGTCCATGGCGAAGTGCGAAAATGAACAAGGAAAACGTTCTTTTGATTCTCGAGACCATATTCAACTGAATGATCAAATTAAAAATAAATAAATAAGAATTACTATACTTAGGAAGCCGATGTTGAAAAATGTCTGGGTGGTGTAGTTGGTTATCACATTAGTCTCACACACTAAAGGTCCCCGGTTCGAACCCGGGCTCAGACAATTTAATTAGTTATTCTCATTTTTCTGCCTGTTAATGCTATTTCTCTAAAATTTTGCTTGCTTTTTTTTCCCTAATTAGATTATACAATAATATACCTAAAATAGTATAAAAATGTAAATTACTTAAAGGAAAATCCCGTATTATAAATATTTGTAAAACAAATGCCAGCTTTTATAAGATCCTAATAAGAAAAATTGCCAATTGTTTTCATAAAATAATTTGAAATATTGAGGTTTTTTTGTTCCCTATTTTTGGAAGAGAAGTTTATGAATAAGAAAATATAAATTAATGTATACAGCTAGATTCAAACTTGATCTTAATATATTATATAAGACTTTATTTAATTCGTGGCAACCCGAAACCCGAACCCACTCTATTCGATTTCAAAAGATTAATCCAATCCAACCAAAAATGCTAACTCAATCGAAGAGCCAATCAGTAACGCGCGCACACACAGAGCTACTAATCTCTCATGTCTCATATCTGTATAATTTGCCAAGTGAGACAAACGTAAGAATTTCTGAGTAAAAGTTGAAAATGGAGAACAAATACAGATCAAATTTCCCAAGTAATTGTTATATGAATGGGTAAGTAAAAGGGAACAAGGTAAAAAAATTGTAACTGCTGAAAAGAACTAACACAGTGGATCAAGAGAGAGGGATCGGGTGAGATATATTCATTCTACATGCCCGCTATGAATGATAATACACTACATTTTCCTAGTTTCTCCAAATCCGGAAGAAGATCAAAAACAACAGATCAATTATGAAAAGAGAAACACGAGAGAAACCTTTGATGTGAACTATCAGTTCTATCTTTCTGTGACGCCTCAAGATGAGCAGCAACCCCTTCTGTTCGAGTCCCCAGAAGTTTCGGTCACGTTGATGGTGGTTCCTTGACCAGGATGGGGGACACTCGCAGCTGCTTCCTGGGCTGCCAATGCCTTTTTGCTGATGATATGGTAGATCTCTGTCAAGATGGTATGGAATGCCTTGTCAATGTTAGTGGCGTCCAAAGCCGATGTCTCGATAAATGAAAGGCCTTCCTTCTCAGCCATGGCCTGTCCATCATCCTCTGAGACAGCTCTTAGATGATTTAGGTCGGATTTGTTTCCTATCATCACAATCACAATGTTAGAATCTGCATGATCTCTCAGCTCTCGAAGCCACCTTTGCACATTATCGAAAGTCTGTCTCTTTGTGAGATCATAAACGAGGAGAGCACCCACAGCTCCCCTATAGTATGCACTCGTAATGGCACGGTATCGTTCCTGACCCGCTGTGTCCCAGATCTGAGCCTTGACTGTCTTACCTTCTACCTGTATGACAATAACATTGACTACAATGAGATGACAAACACTTTTAACGACCAAGTTTACAAAACAATGAAATGAAAAAGAATCTCAGACTCAATAATGATTTCCCAGTTAGCAGAGGACAACCCTCCATTTAATTAGCCTTCCGTATGCAAGTTTTTACAACAGAATTTTGAGTAAAGAACAAAAAGAAACAGTAGGAACAGATTCTAAATGTATATGATTCCATATATAGGAATATCGGATAATTTTAGTTCGAGATCTCAAACTCCCTTCTCCATCTCCCTTAAAAAATTATGAATCTAAGCTTCATTTACTAAGCTTTTCACAAGAAAAACAGCAATCCCTCAGCCAAAAAGTTCCTAGAGTTGGTATAATATTTAATGCTAGAGATACCATAGCTATTGGTTTGGCCACAATAGGATAGGCATACCCTAACTTCTTATTTGTGACGTGGAGAGTCGAACCTTTAAGCTCTTGGTCGATGATACATGGCTCAATCAATTGAGCTATATTTAAGTGGTCTAAACATACTTAACTTTCTAAATGAACAACCCCAATTTTGTTAATTCTACTTTTTTAACAAAAACACTCAAAATGTCAAGAGCATGAGCATTTACAAAATTAGTGTTATACTCAAATAAGCAATGGTGGTTTACAAGTTGGTAAGAAATGAGGGTGACTTAGAAATACAGGAAAAGAATTCTATCAATTTCTCCCTGCTCTAACTACTCGCAACCATACTTTTTAATAATAGAGCACACGTGGTTTCATCGTCTCTCAGTCTTCCGTAGACATGGCTACAAAACCTAGATCGTTTCCTTCATATATGAGAAACGTATTATTTATATTCAATAAATTCAGCAACTATTAATTCAAGCCTTAACGTTTGTGGCTTTCATACAAGAAAGTAACTACTACTCAAACTCCTCATGCAATTAATCCACTGTACTTCAACGATTGAAAGGGAAAACAAAGGCGCAAGCCGCCATCTAGAAATCATCGGAACCTAGATTTTCAAAGTTCGTCAATCACAAAAGGAAACTCAATCGATCAATGAAGAAACTAAAATAAATGCTAATTAAAAAACGAGCAAACCGAATAAAAAATGCTGAGCGTTGAACCGATTAAGAATCTACCTCGAGAGTCCTGGTGGAGAACTCAACACCAATGGTGGATTTGGACTCCAAGCAGAACTCATTTCTGGTAAATCTAGAAAGAATGTTGGACTTGCCGACGCCAGAATCCCCGATCAGAACAATCTTGAACAGATAGTCATACTCGTGGTCTACCTTATGAGCCATGGCCGTCTCCGCCCCAGATTTCTCGAACAAACCTGATCCAAACAAGAAATTCCGTAATTCAGAAACCAAAACCGAAAAAATCGGAATCATCTACACAGTAGCTGAAACGAAAAGGCGAAGAGGCAAGAAAAGCCCCAAAATCGAAGGAAGAACTGAAACCTGTTGGCTGGTGAAGAAATGGAGAAGTTCAGATTGGATTGGAAAGAAGGTTGACTATGAAGAGAGGATGACGGAAGAATCGAAGGAAGAAAGAGGAATGAATTAAGCAGAGAGAATTTAATGAGGGAAGTTACAGACAGAACAGAGAGAAGAAGGAGAGAGGGGATTGATGGGGCTGTCGTCTGTGGGGGTTTGACGTTGCTTCTTTACACGCCTGACTGGCAAATGCGACCGAAAAAGGTCGCGGAGAAAAAATGGAAATTTAATCCCCAAGATTTTTTTTATTTTTGTTAATTTACGATTTAGTCCCTTAACTTTCATCTTTTTATACCACATTAGTCCCTCACTTTTATTTTTTATTTTTTTATTTTTTTCTAATTCAAAGGAAGATGTAGTTAAATTACACTAATATTATTGTTAATATTTAATATTCAATATTTTACAAAAACTATTATAACTATTTAATATAAATTCAAACTATTAGAATCAGATGTGTTTACTGGATGAGACGGGGACAAAAAAGACTTTTTCGTCTCGATCTCGATCTCACCTTCCTCTAAATCTCTACAAAAATTTTCTTTTTTTTATTAGAACTTTGCGGGACCAAATTTCAAACGGGAATTTTTTTATTTAATTGGTTTTCATTTTACAATATAAGTTATATTAAAAATAGAATATAATGTTATATCTAATTTTTAATGTATTTCATTCATTTAGGGTTTTTAAAAAAAAAATAGATTCGAAACGACGACGTGGTGGGGGAGCTGGCGGAATCTTTGTCTGTCGTGGGGGGCGGGGAAGGGAGAGATTTAGCGTTTGGGGCAGCCAGCGCATTTGGGCTGGCTGGGCTACCAGTGGTTCCGTGGGCTGTGGGCGTGGACATTGAAACGACGTCGTTTTGGATGTCATATTCAATAATATTTCCTTTTAGAAAAATGTAAGGTTGTAATATTTTTTATTATTATTTTCTTAGTTCAACTTGTGATATAATTATTTAATTTGTTTTGGAAATTATATATATATATGTATGTAATTAGCATGTCCAATTGAGTGGAGAAAATAATTAGAAAAGTAGTAGAAAACGACAGGTCGTTTCGGGAGACCTTTTCAACGAAACACAGCGTGCTTACCAGCCGACGACGACACTAGAGAATCAAGGCTTGGCACCACGTCAACTTTTTTATTTTTATTTTTCATTTTTACATTGGTCTTAATAAATTAAAAGTTAATTTAATCAGCGTCAAATTATTATTAATTAGTAGTGGGAATGTAATTTAGATTTCAACTTATTTTCTCACTGAGTTTAATTTTAATGCTTAAAAAATAGTGAGTTGAGCTTATAATAAGAGGAATTTTATAATTATTATTTGGATGGGTCTAATTTTTAAATTATGGGTCAATTTTAATATTCACAATAAATAATATATAATTGATATTTTCTGGAATATAAATAACTGATTTTAAATTTTATAATAACAATAATTAAATTTAAAAAAACCTTGTTCTATGTTAGATCAAATATTATATTTCACATAAGTATATTATATATTATATATTTTTATAATTTACTTTTATTATTATCATATTATCATTTACTTCACTCTACATTATTATTTAATTTGATGAACATACTAACTATTTATGTATAATTTTATTAAAATTATTTATTTAACAATAATTATTAATAATGATGGGTAAATAAATTTGAAACCTAAAATTTAATCCACATATACAATATACTTATAATGAAAAAAAAAACAAATAAAATTTAAAGTATATTATTATTTTATTAATAAATTATTATAATGGTATAACATTTCCTATAGATCTCACTTAATATAATTTATTTCATAATATACAGTAACAAAAGTTTGACTAAATGTTTAAATAATTGTATTAAACTCATTTATTTAAGGATAATTATTAATATTTATTATAAAATAAATTTATAAAAAAAAAACTTAAAAATTTAAGATATATAAACCAAAATTAAATTAAAATTTAATAGTTAAATTTAAGATATATAAACACAGTGGGCCTCTATGCTTTACGGCCCAAAAATCACTTTCGGCTTTCCATTCACAAAAGCGAAGGAAAGGCCCAAAGCTCTCAAGCTTGGCCACACAAGCACGAATGAATTTCTTTTTAATATTTCAATTATATATATATATATAATTTCCATGTATTTTACGATAGCCAATTATTTCGCACCACGTGGATCTCAAGTTAAATGTCCGGTCAATAATCATATTCAATAAATAAATAAAATTAAGCGTGTATTTACCTAGAGTTATACTAAATTTGTAGCTCGCAACTTATAATACTTAAATATTTAACCCTAATGAGACGGTTTTAAATAATGTTAAGATAATGTTAAACTTGAGGTACTGATAGTCGAGCCCTTAATAATCTCACAATGCTAATATAACTAATATGACTGGTTACTATAGTGAGGTAAATAAGAACTTCCTCGTAATTGAGACTATATGTTTGAGTCAACAGAGCTTTCGATTTTTTTCAATGCATAAGCGAGGCTTAGCCGTCAAAGTGCATACTCCTTTCTCAAACCAGAATAACTCTGAACGTTAGAGAAGATAAGAGAAGAGCACCTGAGCGAACCGACTCGACATTCGTGTCTATAGATGATGTGGATTAAAATAATAATGAAATTGAGAAAATAAAATATATGGAAATTATGGGGGTGGGTTCGACTTTTCGCTTTATCATAAATATGGGACTGGTTGATGACATGTATCTACGAAGTTATCATATTGTTTCAGCTTTATGCCAGCTCACACCTATTTTCTTTTTGTATTATTTGAAATTCTTCAAAAATCTAATTTTTTGCAAAACAATTTTTTTTAACTAAATATTCAAATATTTGACTTTTAGAGCAATAATAAATCGATATAAATAAAATTTAATTAGTTAAAAATATATATTTTTATTTATTTATTTTTTAAATTTAAACTGAATTAAAATAATATAAAGGAAAATAAAACTATAAATTATAAGCATTTGAGTTCCTATAAATTTATAAATTCGTATAGTGATTATATTTTTGTGTGGATTGGGTTAATTGAATTAGTGAATCGAGCAACCAATTCAACCAAACATAACTTTCTATTCTATTGGTTTAATTGAATTAGTGAATCGAGCAACCAATCTGACGAAACATAACCTCATATTTTCGATAATTTGGTTGTTTTTTTATAATTATTTAAAAAATTATATTAATAACTAAAATATCTAATAAATTTGAGATATTGAGTATTTCCAAGTTATAACACATCACTAACCTCGAAAACAAATGTAAAATGTTTTAAATATTTATAATAATCTTAAATTAAGGAATTGTAACTTCTAAATATTCATAGTAATTTAAAAGTAAGGCATATGAGATGATTTTTTTTATAGTTTGAGTTGGGCAGTCCAAATTCACCCAATTCTCTAACATTACATGTAAAAAACATGTTAAACGTCTAAATGTTTTTTTTTTTATATTCAAATTTAACATAGACAAACATTATAGTTACACATGCATTCTAAGTCACTGTCGTATCAATTTTTCATTCAATAATTAAATATATTTATATTTCAAAAATAATATAAGAACTTTTAGCTTCTAATTTCGAGTTAATATTTCGATTTTTTTAAATAAAAAAACTATTTAAAAATATTTTTTTATAATTTAACCGAAATAAATATAGTCGTTTTTTAAAATCATATTAGACTATAAGACGACCTTAGTAGACATGTCAGTGGTCCATCTCAATAAGGGAAGTGGTGGTTTCAATTTCTCAACCATTACCCATACTTTTTGTTCAAATTTCATAAAGTGGAAGTTATTCACTCTTTATTTATGAAAATTTGAAAAAGAGACCTTTTGATAAAAGTTCTCAATACTAAAAAGACAAAAATGCCCCTAAATAAAAGGAAACGAGAGTAAAATTGTGTGATTAAACTTGATTAAATTTATATATGTTACTGGTCAACACTCAAAAAGTCAATCATTTGGTTGAATATCTTGATCTACGCGATAGGTTGCATTCAAACTTCATACCACTCAAATTATTATTTTTTCGAACGGCTGACATCTAACATAAGATAAATTACCGTCTCTTAAGACCTTGACTCTTTAGAGTGGTCTATATATATAAATAAAGGAAGAAAGTGAGAATATTCTTACATTTACCTTTGTTGACTATGGTTAAACTTTTTTACTGGAAACAAAAAAGGTAAGTTATTTGGGAAAGAAAAAGTGAATAAAGTAAGGGAATGTAAAAAAATATTCACCTTTGAATTCTTTATTTTTATTTATTTAAGATCTCTAAGTAAATAAAATATAAAAAATAAAGCTGCAACTTTGATGTAAAAAATGTGGTCTCAAAAGATTCCTTTTTGCATAATTACAAAATTTAAAACATGATAAAAAAAATATTTTTTCATATTGATAAATATAATTTGAAATCCAAATAGAATTTAATTTTTAAATTAAATAGTAAAATAATCTATAGTTTCATTGCTATAATTATTATTAAGTTAAATTAAAAATAGTATCATGTGATTAGAAAATTAGTTTATAATTTAGTTTCTATAATTAAAAAAAAGCTATAATTTTTTTATTTATGTCTTCACTTTTACACTATTTTTATTTTTTAGAAAATCTAATTAAAATAATTAAAATGTATTTCGAAATAATTTTGAAATTGAAAAAATAATTTAATTAAACCATTATCGTATTGTAAAATAATTGAAAGGGATTTTTATTTTGGATATATATATATTTGTAATACAAAAGAGAACAATATAAGGTGTGCGGCTCCCGATGATAGCATCGGCTTAAGAGGAACCGCGTAAACCGTCTGATCGGTGCCACGTCATGATGAAGCTCATTTATTAGGGGATCAGAGAATCACAGAAGCAGATGGCTAAAAACTCCACAGAAGCAGACGAAAGACATGATTGTAGAGGAAAATTACCCTTAGGATGGGCCCCACCAATTGAAAGTAGATGTAAAAGTTAGATGAATGATTATGGTCAATACATGAAATTGGATCGTCATTTATTAATGATTTTCTTTAGTGTGACACTGTCATTAAATGATTAAAATTGAATTTTTCATGTTTTTCTTTTTACAAATAAAAATAAAAATAAATAAATAAATAAAAGAAAATAAAGTAAAATAGATATATATATATATATATATATATTTTGTCTAATTGGGTAAAATATATGTTTTTAATCGAAGCGGCTGAACATAATAACTTATCTGAAGTTCATAAAAAAAAATTATAATTAAAAAATTATGAGCTAATATTTATATTCTTTTTTTAAAAAAATTATTGGTTAAAAAGTAAATTTAATAAAATAATTAACTTCCCACCTTCTCTAAAAATATTCTAAACTTAAAAAAAAAAAAATTATCATGTTAAACTTTTAAACTTTTATTAATACTTTAAACATCTTTTAAATTAAAAAAAAAAATACTTTTATAGTAACATATTTAAAAAATAACATAAAAAAAATTATTCAAGAAGTATCAATAGGTTAATCTCTAAATTAATTTTTTGAATTTTTTTTTTATAAAATTTAAAGGTATTAATATTATTTTTAAATTTTACCCATATTTTTACAAAAAGATGAAAGGGTATTAGTGAAATTTTTAGAATTAAAAGATATTTTTAAAATGGGAATGAAAATGATTATTTTTTATTAATTTAGACTTTTTAAAATATATAATTTAACGAAAATAATTTATAAATATTAAAAGAGAATTTATGGGAAATAGAGGAAAAATTATTAAAAAAAAAAAAAGAGAAAAAAGTGGAGGAAGTGGGACCCAGAATTTATGTCATCGATCAGATGAAAACGATGCGAGCTCTTCTTTCATTTCGCTCTCACAGTATAACTACCTCACCATCCAGACCAGTCCCAGCCAGTCAAAAACTCGAACGCCCAAACCATAGCCAAACTCAAAGCCCTCTATGGTTCTTGGTTGTTGCGCCTTCAGAGTATTTTTTTTTCCCGGGCAATATTCTCTCCGTTCTTCATCCGATTTTTGGCTGAAAAGTAAACCCAAAAGCATTGAGATCCTCGGGAGATTTCCGCACTCCGAGCTACTGTTCTTGATTTCGAGACGTGGAAAGTGATAGGAACGAGCACCGACACCATATTCTATGACTATCAGTTGATTTTGGTACCTCCAATGGCGGTTTCAGTGGTTCAGATTTGGTTGATGTGTCGTGCTGCATGCGTTAACTGGAAACTAGCTTGTTTGGTTTGAGCCTGAGAAGATTTTTGTGCTGCGAGTTGAAGGTTTGGCCTATTTCTTTGTAATTGCTATTTTGTTTCGGCTAATTGCATTTAGAGAAAGGTTTGGAGTTTTGGAATGTTTATATTCTGTATAGCTTTTTAGAATATGCTTCGAATTTGTTATCATCGGAGTTTTCTATTTTCTTTCCAATCATTCACGAGGAGAGTTATTGATAAACTGAGTATCTTCTCTGTCTCCATCATCGTAATCGATTGAGACTGATCTGTTTATCATCTTATCTTTAGCTCCTCGAAAGTGTTTGAATCGACCGTAGAACTGTTCGCTTTCGTTTCTGTTTTAATGCTTTATTTGTTTGTAGAACTATGTATTATCAATGCACTATTCTTCTGCCATTACCGGCCTGCTCTTTGGTGATCTTCTATTTTCATCTCGAATTGAAGGCTTGGAATCTATCCTGTAATGAGTATACCCAAAGCAAGTAGAAACACTGCAAATACAACTGGAACTTAGTGAACCTATATGGTTACATGGAACGAGTTGAGACTAAAAGAAATTATCATGATCAACGACCCTTGGGTACCTCAAGGCGAATTTCACTGTGCCATGCTAGCCAAAGTATAAAGCTACATGAGCCTTTCAAAAAGGAAAGACATAGCTTTACATATGGCGAAGTCAATGATAGCCCTTGTAAGGCTTCTAGAAATCATCAGAAGGATGTAATTTCAGGAAAGATGACCAAGAAGGAGGAAATTATAAGATACATGTCAAATTTACCTTGCTATCTAGAACGTGGTGAACACGTTCGGGAGAAAGTTCTTAGTGTAGGGGTTCTTGAATGGGGGCGTCTAGAAAAATGGCAGCATGGCCGAAAACATTTATCAAGTAGAAGTAATGGATCTCCATCCTCTTCATCTGATTGCCCATCTCCCCATTTTGGTTATGATCACATCTCTTATCCTCGTCAAAGAATACATCGTCCTTCACTCTATTCTCATCTGCTAGCTTCTCCTCATTCCCAATTTGTTAAATCCTTTGGAGAAACAAATGAAAAAGGCCAAGATCTTAAATTTGTCCATATTAACACCTTAAGTTGCCTAGGAAAGTCTATAAAGAGTAGCCAGCATTCCTTTAAAGCTGATAGGGAAGTAAAGTTAAAAAAATCTGAGAAGACAGGTTCAGAGACAAAAGTTCTCCAAGAATGTAAACCTCTGCCAGGTGCGGTATGCTATGAGGTTGCATCTTCTCAATGTGGGGATTTTATTCGAGTAGAGACGTCTCGTTCACAAGAAGATTCTGTAGATAAGCATGATGTCTTGGAAAAACCTGAAGCAAGTGTCGCTTCACCCAGCAGCTTACCGAAAAACAATGATTCAGAAGTCCATGAGTTTTCTGATTCAACATTCTTATTAAGTCATAGGTCCAAAGAAAGAAGTCAGAAGAGATTACTGAAGAGGTCTACGGTGAGTTTGCCTGCAAAGCTCAAACATGATCTCCCAAACGCAAGCAATACACACTGTATAATTAACGGGAACCAGTTTCTGCAAAAGCACAATTGCTCCATAAATGCATGCAATAATTCTCGCTCTGTATCCAGGTCAGTTAGAGCAGGGTGTAGTACGTCCAAAGGTAGAATATCTGAAGAAAAAACATCTGTTGTTGCACCTTTAAATTCAATGGTCAAGGAGGCATCTATTGGGTTGGATGTGAAAGTAAGCACAGTTGCTATTGTTAAAGGAAGAAGCTCTTCACCCTTTAGTCGATTAAGCATTGGCATGGGTAGGAGATGTAAAAATTACAGTTCTGCAGGGAACTCATGCGCCAGCGATCAAAGTTCAGCACATATAGCAGTCCAATCTGGATCAGAGAATGCTATGCCTTCAGCTTGCTTGAATGATTTGAGGACTGAGAAACCCAGCAATACAGGCAGAGCCAGTTCCAGTCCTCTTAGAAGGTTTCTGGATCCTTTACTAAAGCCAAAGGCTGCAGTATACCATCAGGCTGTGGAACCTATAGAGAAAGACTTAAATAGCATGGCTGATAAAAAATATAATCGACCGTCGGATACATCAGCAGTACAATTAAGGAAACTTAAGCTAGACATGAGCAGATGCAGGAAAATCAGTGTCAATGATTCAGCAGTGGACAAGAAGCATGAACCTTCTGACGTTCGTGCTCTTCTACAAGTAACATTTAAGAATGGCTTGCCTCTGTTCACCTTGGCAGTCGATAATGTCTCCAACATTCTTGCAGCTACGGTGAAGTTAACCAGCTCCAGAAAAGGGGCAGTTAGCCATACTTATACTTTTTTTACTGTTCAGGAAGTTAAAAGAAAGACTGGAAGTTGGATAAATCAAGGTAGTAAGGGGAAAGGTCGTGATTACATCTCCAATGTCATTGCACAAATGAAGGTTTCTGATTCAGAGCTTTCCCTCTTGACCCGACCAGATGAGCCCTCTACCAGAGAGTTTGTCTTATTTTCTGTGGACTTGAGACAGGCAGATCACCAGACCTCAGATTTTCTACCAAATGAAGAGCTAGCTGCTATAATTGTCAAAATTCCCCCCAAAATCAAGCAAGGCACCATTACCGATGAGGTTAAACTGAGTTCTTACAACAACTTGTCTGAGGGTAGCGTGCGGCTTCAGCTTCCTGCTGGCAGTGAGTCCTTTATCAGTGCAACAGTGTTACTTCCAAATGGTATGCATAGCCTCCCGAGTAAAGGTGGACCTTCATCCCTAATAGAACGTTGGAATTCTGGTGGATCGTGCGACTGTGGGGGTTGGGATTTAGGTTGTAAACTCAGAGTTTTTGCCAATCAGAATCAAATAATCGGGAAATCAAGTTCATCTCAACCTTCTCCAATAACAGACCAGTTTAAGCTTTTACCTCAGGTATAAATATTTGATTTTTCCAAGCTAATATGAGAGCTCGTTATTTTTGGTCATTTGCATTTTACTTAGATTCATCTTTTTGAGCCCTTTCTCACTCACAGGAAGGAGTACCAGAAAACCATTGCGTCCTGAGCCTGGCTACTTTCAAAGATATGATATACTCAGTTGAGTTTGATTCTTCTTTATCGCTTCTGCAAGCATTCTCCATTTGTCTGGCAATGATAGATTGTAGGAACTCACGCCAACTTCCAGAAGCAAGTATCTTATTTGAATCTAAGACTTCAGGAAAATCAAAGTTAATGGATAATGATAGATTGTTGACTCCTAATCCTCCTGAAAGAGAGGCTCCTGCGGAACATATAACTTGTCCGCCACTTTCTCCTTTTGGAAGGATCTAGCTCCTCCTGAAAGAGAGGCTCCTGCGGAACATATAACTTGTCCGCCACTTTCTCCTTTTGGAAGGATCTAGCTGGAAGTTTGGACTTCGTTCGATGTGTAAATATCAGGTATACATTTCCAGGCCCAGCAATCAATTTTTACTCTTGTTGATAGGGGCCTGTCATAGATAGATCTGGAACCTGAACAACCTTTTGTCTTTAAAATGCTCTGTTCTTCTTTGGCAGTCATTCTATACAAGAGCCGAAGGTCTTTGTAGCTTCTAATATTTTTTGTTAACCATAGAGAAAAAAATAGTGCATGTACTTTCAAGGGACTCAATCAACATCCATCTGTGTATATACCTAATTAGACTGTAAATTTTGTTTTGGTTAGTATGAGAACATCAAAATTATTGTTCCGTCAAGCTCGACTAGCCAAATATATATTCTCAATCAAACGATAAACCTTTTGAAAACGTCCTTTAAGCCATCGACTATGATGATGACAATGACTCGAGGGTTCAATAACTCGCACTCAAGTTTCATTAGACAATAGAAGATCTTTCCATTTAGCTATCCTTATACATCACGAGTTCTCAAAATCTGTTACTATCACACAATGTTCTCATCATCATGTTCATTGCCACACACCACATTCCGTCCTTATCTCAAACAAAATTCAATAGAAATAAGTGGATGAGAGAGTGATACATTACATTGTCAAATAGAGAATAACAGAACTTGATATTAATCTTTTTCGTCCCTAATCTTTGAATGGAGTCGTCAATTTTCCCCTCTATTTTAAATAGCGAATGAAGGAGGCTGCATGTGTCATGTTGCCTCCTTTAGGCAGCCAGGTCTGGCATAGGCCCACGATGCTCTGTTTAGTGGTCTTTCTTGTCTGAGATGCCCCACTTGAGTTCTACCCCCGATCATCCTGCCTTTTAGCTTCTTTTTTTGGGCATATTCCCTTTCCATTGAACTTTGAAGCATGAAATTGGTATAACCCACCTGTTACATCGCGCTACTATTCTTAGGCTTTCTTCCAGTAATAGCTCCATGTTTTTCTTCTGACATGCCCCCTTAGGGATAGGATGTTGTTTGACTTGCAATTTTAACATATCTGTATTTGTATAATGTGCAATTGAAAGTTTGCATTTATGTAGCTCATATTTGAACTGTGGGGGAGATATGAGTTGAATGAACTTGTTTGTTTGTGTAAGTAGGTTAGCATAACTCAACTAGTCAAACATACATCCTGATCAAGAGGTCATAAGTTTAGATTTCTCTTTTCTTATTGACCTCAAAATATAACATCTGAGATTATCATACCAAACATTTCTGCTATACACAAACTGTGATATCCCACATCGGTTGGAGAGGGGAACGAAACATTCCTTATAAGGGTGTGGAAATCTCTCTTTAGCAGACGTGTTTTTAAAATATTCGAGAAGTTCGAAATGAAAAGCCCAAAAAAGTCAATATTTGCTATTTGTAGATTTGTAAACTTAGGCTATACAAACACATTTGAATTTTCCTTCTCACTTGTTGTTGAACTCAAATATGGCTTAGGAGATAATGAAACCAACAGCTTCCCCTACATCTGTAAGTGAGTTTTTGCAGGTTCATAAACTCAATGAAGGGGAGCCGAATATGTAGACATAAACACCAAAAGATCTGTCCCCCTCTCTCTCCGAAATGTCTATTCTTGCATTGCTTTTGTCGTTTGGTACATGCAGAAGCCGAAAAGCCTGGTTGGTTTCTCCAAAATGCATCATGAACAAGAAAAAGGAAACAAAAGAAGGCCACACCACACCTACCCATGCATGTGTTCTCTAATTTGTGAATTTGCACTTGATTGGGTGTTCCCTTTGCTTTAGTGACTAATTTTGCAGCTTTGAATAAAAGGAGACACAAAACGTGGTACATTGATGATGAAGAACAAGAAGTAGCTAATCTTAGCTCTCACTGTTCCCCAGTTGAGGAATTCAAAGCCTTTTTGCTCTGTATAATGTTGGTAAGTGGGCAAGCAGAGTATCCCCATTCTCTTCTGCTGTGGCCTGTGCAGGGTAATGTTTTGTTTAATGCTGGGAGTGAATTTGCCTTCTAAAGTTGTATCTTGCTTTGTTTACCCATTTTTCCCATGTGGGCTTCATCATTCCCCCCTCCCCTTGAGTGTGTTGCACTCATTGATAGCAAAAACAAAACCAAAAAAAAAAAACAAAGATGTAACTGTCCAAGTTCACCGTTAGCAGATATTGTCTTCTTTAGACTTTTTCTCAAGATTTTGTGTGTGTTATAAATGGTATTAGAGCCAAACACCAGACGATGTGCCAACGAAGATGCTAAGTTTCGAAGGGAGGTGAACACAAGGCAGTGTGCTAGAAAGGACTCTAGGTTCCAAAGAGAGTAAATTGTGAGATCATATCAGTTGGAGAGGAGAACGAAACATTTTTTTTATAAAAGTGTGGAAACCTCTCTTTAGAGAGGTGTTTTAAAAATCTTGAGGGAAAACTTGAAAAGAAAAATTAGAAGAAGACAATATCAGCTAGGGGTGGACTTTGATTGTTACAAAAGTTCAGTTCAGGAGGCTTCAATAATCGGTCAAAGATGGGTCTTCTTATTGGGACAATGATTAATTACAGATGTTTTTCTTTTGTAGGGAATGGGTTTTATTTTATAGACATGGAGAGATTACTGTTGGGTTTGGACAGGACTAAATCTAGTTTGGTTCTTATATTTATATTTATATTTTTTATTCTATATATATTATAATAATAATAATAATAATAATAAATGAGTTGGAGATATGTTTGCCAACATGCTGAAGTATTGCCCAATGCATTTAGAATTTATTAAATCATGAAATTCCTTTGTTTAAATGATTAAATATTTTGTTCATGCCAAATATTGTATGGTTCAATGATGATTGTCATAGTGAAATTAGTTAAATATATTTACTTTTTTTCAATCGAGCCGAGCCAAAATTTATAATAGGATGTTCGATAATATTTTTTAACTTAAATATAAAATATCATTGAAATTTCAAATGTTTTAATAGTTTCATTAATATACAAAAAATATTCTCAACGTATTTTTTTTTATTAAATGTCTTTACTTTTTTTTATATTTTGTTTCAAAAATACTTTTAAAATTTTACAAACATAACTAAATTTCATTAATATCCATTAATATCTGTAAAAAATAGGTTAAAAAAAACGGTTCAAAAAAATACGTGGTATTAACGGTTCACAATCTAAATATAAAAAAGCCCAACCGGTATTTATACAAGGTTTTATAATATTAAAACAAAACATTTTCTAAAGTCGAAAATAAAATAAAAAAAGAGTATGAAATTTCGTGACAAAATAAATTAAAAACCCAAAATTCAACTTTTGACTAACATTTATTTATTTAATTAAAAAATCCTCAACGTAAAATCATCACATCCGTAAATATTTCTACAACAGACCGCAAACTCCAACAACAAATATACAGAGACAACCATTTTTTTTTTAATTTAATACCACTGGAAAATATTAATAGTAAAATTAAATTAAAAAAGGAAAAAAAATAATGTTAAAATTGTACAAATATAACCTTTTCTTTTAAAAAAAATCAAAATGGTTTTGTTGTACCTGAAATTTATTTAATAAATACTAGGTTAATATTTAATGTATAAAATAATTATTTACAATAAATCATTGACTTTATAATTTATTTATAAAATTTGATTACGTAAATTATTTTAACAATATATTTTTTGATAAAATAAATTGTAACTAATTTAATTTTAATTTTTACATCAATTTATATGTAGCAAATAATTTTTTTAAAGTATTAAGTAAATAATTAAAAATTGTGGTATTTTGTATAACTTTACTTAATAATTATAAAAAAAAATGCGTTAAATTATCCATATTTTAAAAAAATATAATAATATTCTAAAATAAGATTTTACAAATTTTTTTTAAAACATTTAATATATTAGTATGGGGAAAAAAGAAAATTATGTAAAAAAAAAAAAAAAAAAAAACAAAAAACATTACCCCACGCGCGGACATGAAGATTGCGACGGTTTCACCACTCCCCATTTCGTATTATTTATAATTTGGCGCTTAGAGGTGCATCTTACGCGACTCCAACAACTCGCAGCTGAAGAACAAGAGAGAGAAACAGATTGAGTGGAGTGAGAGAGAAGAGAAAACTAAAAAAGCAGTGTGATGAAGCGAAATGATGAGGCTGTAAGAAAGTGAAGAAGGTAACACAGGCTTTGGATCGGAGCAAAAAAATCGCTTCAATCCTCTTCCTTCTTCTTGTTAATTTCTACTTTCTCGATTCCCCAAGCAACTCTACTTCAACTTCTTCCCTACTTGCTGCTGCTCGCCTTTTTTCCATCACTTTTTTTCTTCAAAATCTGTGTGATTGATTAGGGAGGAAGTTGCGTGGTTGTGGATTGAAAGATTGAGGAGTTCGTGGTTTGGTTTAACTTTGATTCGTTGAGGTTTCTCCATCTGATTTTTGGTTTGTTGCAATGGGAGCTCGTTGCTCCAGATTTGGCCTCTGTTTTTGGCCTTCTCAGATCGAATCTAATCTCAACGACTTATCGTGTGCTGGTGAGTGTTACTTTGTGGTTTTCATTTGTTGATAGAGGTTTTTTTTTTTTTTTGTTGTCGTTGTTGGAATTAGGGTGTTGTTGTTTGTGTTGTTGAATGCAGAGAATGATGATGCATTGCCTGGATTCTGTGAGTACAGCTTTGATCAGTTAAGAGCTGCTACTTCGGGATTTTCTTCGGAGAACATTGTTTCTGAGCATGGTGAGAAAGCGCCCAATGTTGTTTATAGAGGCAAGCTTGATGATGACCGAGTGATCGCTGTGAAGCGCTTCAATAAGTCGGCCTGGCCCGATTCTCGCCAATTCCTAGTCCGTGATTTTGCTCTGATTTGATATTATGCATTGCCTTAATTTTACTGAGCTGTCTGAGTGTGCGTATTAATGTCTAAGCAGGAGCGTTTAAGGTGATTGTTAGTTGTGTTTTGGCTTTTCAGGATGAAGCTAGAGCCGTGGGGCAGCTAAGGAACCAGCGGTTGGCGAATTTGATCGGATGCTGCTGCGAGGGCAATGAGAGATTACTAGTGGCTGAGTTCATGCCCAATGAAACTCTCTCCAGGCACCTTTTTCACTGTAAACTTTCGTCTAGCCTTTTGCCCTCTTCCATTGACGCTAAATGAGTGTTTATGATGCTGAAAGTTATGGATTTCGCTTTTTCTTGTTGGTTGGTCTTTTATACTCTATATACATCGAAGTAAACTATACAAATTATCCTATCTTTGTTCGTGGTTGGATAGCAAGCATGCAAGTGCACGCTTTTAGTTAATTTGAATACATTTATGGTTGATTTTTTGTAGGGGAAACCCAGCACATGAAATGGGCAATGAGGCTTCGAGTGGCATTATATTTAGCACAAGCTTTGGAGTACTGCAGTAGCAAGGGACGGGCGCTGTACCATGATCTTAATGCTTATAGAGTTCTCTTCGATCAGGTACATATTTTGTTCTTTTCAAGTGTTGGGACATATTTCATGGGCTGTTAGTAATTAGCTATACCCGACAGGATGGTAATCCCAGGCTCTCATGTTTCGGCCTTATGAAGAACAGCAGAGATGGAAAGAGCTATAGTACCAACCTGGCTTTCACCCCTCCTGAATATATGAGAACAGGTATTGAACATCTACTGATTAGACATGGTGTGTTTAAGTCATTCTTAAAGATTTGTTGGTAAAATTCTCTCTCTATATATATACCTTTTTAGGTGCATTTCCTAATCACTCTGGGTATTATGCTAATTGTATAATATCCATTTGACAGGGAGAATATCGCCAGAAAGTGTTGTGTACAGCTTTGGCACTCTATTGCTTGACCTACTCAGTGGGAAGCATATTCCCCCAAGCCATGTAAATTGTTTCTTCCTTTAGAGGTTTCTCTGCATGTGGAAGTTTGGTTTGACTTTATCCTGAAATACAACCCAAGAATTTTACTCCAGAACTTTATCTTATACAAAAACTTGTGATTCTGGAAATCTAGCCTTAGTAACTTGGCTGCGGCTCTGACTAATTACCAGCATTTTAAAGAACATATTGTTGAGGATTGTTGGAGAGGAGTCCCACGTTGGCTAATCAAAGGATTGATCATGGGTTTATAA